AGTTCTACTGTGTATCTGTTACGTAACATGTGTCTGGGCTCTCATGTTCCACAGTATGGCATTAAAGCGCCCGTATTACACTATTTTCTGATCTATGTTATAATTATAATGTTGGTTCCTCATCAAAAACACTCCAGGATGTGTGTTTTGTTTCATCAGTTTGTTTACAACACACAAATCCTGCATATTTAAGCTTAGTTTTTCTCTCAAAGGAAAACATTCTGTTCCACCTTGTGATGTCATACGGTGATACAGGAAGTGCTCCACTGTGTTTTTAAACTCCATGCATCTTCACTAGAATCATTTGGATAATTTCAGCCCTGAAATTGCCCGTCTCAACTGGACTTAAGGTAAATGGTAAAGCTGTTACCTTGAAAACTACAGCTTCATGACATCACAAGGTGGAACAGACTGTTTTGAGCTGTGGAGCTGTAGACAGATTAATAATAAAAGTTTACTTAAATATGTGTGAATGAAACAAAACATAACTCTAGGTATGTTTTTAATGATTTTTGGTCAGAGAGATACATGCCCATTCAAAGTTTTTCTTTCTTTTTCTTTTTTTTTTTTTTTTTAGCAATAAAAGCAGGTATAACTTAATAAATGCAGCATAGATACATTTTATATATATCATGATATCATATCATCAAAGTTCTCACAATAATATCGTGGACCATCCAAGTCTCTTTGCTTAAATTAAGAGTTATGGTGAAGCCATAGCTAATAAAAGACAGAGGGAACTACATAGACCATGATCCTTTGCTCCATTTCAGTGTAGACTACATGAAGAAATAACAGTTCTAAGCAGTTGTAAGTCTTACCTCTTTGGATTAAGTCTTGTCAAGGCATTTTAAGAGGAAAAAGTAGCATATTAACAGTTTTATCGTAATAAATGTCGTACCATGAGATGTATATCGTGAAAATATCATACGGAGAGATTTGGATATTGTTACATCCCTAATCGTGAGCCTCCCCACCATATTGTGAACTTTCCCCTGATATCGCAATAAATATGGTACCATGGGGTTCATACCGTGATGATATCCTATCGTGAGACTTGGATATCGTCACACCTCTAATTAATTTAATGCCATACCGTGGAACATTCCAGGCAAACTTTTAGTGCACATTCAGTAAGGAGGGTAAAGGAGAAATACAGAAGAACCTGTGCATGAAAGTTGGATAAGAAAAAGTTGAGCGTAGAGCAGAGGAGGATTCGGAAAGGTCATGTTTCTTGTACTAAACTACGGAGTGAATTTACTAAGGTGTAATTTCACAAGTTTGAAGTTCAAATTACTGCGTGGCCTTACTGTTTTAGTTCAGTTCTTGCTAAAGGGATATCCACACTAAATGAACTCTTGCCAACTCTAACTTCTCTACACCATCTTCTCAAACACCACAAATCTTTGGTCCTATTGCCCTTTTGAAATAAATCTACAGCCGCCTGTTTGTGAGCTCTAACCTCTGTCTTAACTAGAATGACTTGCATTGTGTGACTATTAAAGCACTTATAACCAAAAAATAAAATTATATTGCCAGCGACCGCCAGGGAGCGAGTCTTTAATCCAATCAGAGACATGGTTAAATGAGAACCATATGGAAACAACTGGCTCAAAATCATGTACAGACCCTTTAATTGTCTTTATTAAGATTTGTATCAAGTGTTAAGAGGCGGAAATGTAATTTTGGACAAATCTATTGAATTATTCATGTCTGAGTGGAGTGACAAAAGAGCCACTGTATTTTATAATGTACTGAGAGAGAGAGAGAGAGAGACGGGGAGAGAGAGAAAGAGAGAAAGAGACTGGGAGAGAGAGAAAGAGAGAGATGGAGGGGATAAAAAAGAGACAGATAGAAAGAGAGAGGGGGGAAAGAGATAGAGACAAATCAAGAGAGAAAGGGGGTGAAGGGGTATGGACATAAAGAAAAAGAGTGAGGGGGAGAGAGAGAGAGACAGGGAAAGAAAGAAAGAGAGACAGAGAAAGAGAGAAAGAGACTGGGAGAGAGAAAGAGAGAGAGAGATAGGGAGAGAGAAAAAGAGAGAGTGGGAGAGAGGAAAAAAGAGAGAAAAAAAGGGGGGGATAAAGAGACAAAGAAGAAGAGGCAGATAGTAAGAGAGAGGGGTGAAAGGACATGGACTTAAAAAGAGAGAGAGAAGGAGGGAGAGAGAGAGATGGATGGAAAGAAAGAGAGGGGGGAGTAGAAAGACTAAGAAAGAGAGATAGAAGGAGAGAAAGAGAAAGACAGAGAGATAGAAACAGAGAGAGGGGGGGACAAAGAAAGAGAGGGAGAGACAGAGACAGAAAGAGAAAGAGTTAGGAGAGAGACATACAGAGAGAGAGAAACAGAGACAGAGAGAGAGAGACAGAGAGAGAGGGGCAACGAAAAAGAGAGAGACAGACAGAGAGAGAAACAGTGACAGAGAGACAGAGACAGAGAGAGAGGGGCAAAGAAAGAGAGAGACAGGGAGAGAGACAGAGAGAGAGAGAGAGACAGACAGAGAGAGGGAGAAACAGAGACAGAGAGAGAGACAGAGAGAGAGGGAGAGGGACAAAGAAAGAGAGAGACAGGGAGAGACAGAGACAGAAAGAGAGAGAGTTAGGAGAGAGACAGACAGAGAGAAACAGAGAGAGAGAGAGAGAGAGAGAGACAGAAGGAGCAGAAGAGTGCATCAAGAGCTGTTCTGGATCAATGTGTTCAGAGCAGATGTTCAATAACTCACATTTAAGTGTTAGTGATAAAGTGCAGTTCCAGCCAGCACTAGAATTACACTCATTCACATGCATTTACTTTACAAGGGCCAAAGTGTTTAATACTGTCTAATTAAAGGAGCTACAGTAAACAGGGAAAGTGCTCATCAATGCAGCTGCTAAACTTCCACGGACAATTATAGTGTGTAGTATCTTTAAAGGTCCTATATTAAGACAAACTGACTTGAATTGTGAGTTTCAAGCCATGACTGGAGGTGAGTTTTGTTTCATTCACACGTTTAACACAAAAAACCCGCATATTTAGTCCGTATCTCAAACAGAAAACACTCTGCTCCACCTTGTGATGTCATGTGGTAATACAAGAAGTGATCCAATGTGTTTTTAAACTCCTTGCACCTTCACTAGAATAATTTTGATAGTTTAAGATCTCGAATTCCCTCTCTCTAATGAACTAATGTTAAAATATAGCTGTTCATTTTAAACTAGCACTTTATGACATCACAAGGTTGAACAGTGCATTTTAAGCTTTAGAGATGTAGACTAAAAATAAAGAATTATGCAAAAATGTGTAAATTAAACAAAATGCAACTCCAGGAAATACATTTTGAGGAGGTACCAACATTCTAACATGGCTTAAATTTTGTGTAATATAGGATTTTCAAAAGTTCAATTCAACAACTTTTCCACTTTTACAAGCCACAGGCCTTTACCCAAGGTATTTTGTCATTTAAAAAGCAAAACCTTGAAAATATTTTGAAGTGAACTTGATGCAACAAATCTGCAAAGAAGTTTTTAAAAATAACCCTGGTTGGCATTTATTTATTAGTGTAGCCTAGTTTACCCCATTCACTCCCATTATTTAATCAATGTCTGCTTTTCTGCTTATTAAACCATAACATGTGTATTGATTAAGCATTTTTTTAACTTACTTTTTAAAAATGTATTTACTTCTTTCCTGACCCCACTTTCTTCAATAAAACTCATAAACACATGCCACAAAACTGATTCCTAGGGCTCAAAAACATGTCCTCATCTGTCATGGTACTTCTTTGACGTTTGAAGCACTAAATGTTCCGACTCTGCGCCAACCTGTTGCTAAGGGTAACCACTGATGTTGTTGCTCTGTTTGGTGTGAATGAAGGCTGCTATTTTAAGTGAACGCATTGAACAGCTCCTTCAGACTTCTTGCATCTCATGGTTTCTTTGAGGGAAGGCTAGCTCCATCTCCCACATCAACAACAAGGGTGTAATGTTATGCTAATGTAATAGCTTGGCTCAGTTTGGTTTGGTATTATTTCAGTAACTTAAGAAGGAAAAAATTATTTGCAACCATTTGCAAATAATGTGAGCGATATTGAAAACAATTACAGTATATTTCTGACTATAAGTCGCATGGTTTTTCATGGTTTGGGTGGTCCTGCGACTAATACTCTGGTGCAACTTATATATTAAAATTTTCACACTGACAGCCACAAGAGGGCACTCTAGGCTTGTGTGCCACTATCTGCTACTATTGTACCACTGTTACTTCGCCCTTTACTGCACATGTCGTCCTGCTGCAAGTGGTGAAATATTCAGCCGAAAACGGTAATCGAGCAGCAGAAAGAAAGTTTGGAGCGAGCGAGAAACTTGTGAGGGACTGGCGGAAAGTGGCGAGCAGCGTGCAACTTTCCTGGAAGTCACTGGATGGATCGACAAAGCCTGGACTTCAATGACAATCGAAACCATCCTGTCGGGATTCAGAAAGGCTGGAATAATTTTAACTGAAACTGATGCTGAGTCTGACGACAGCTACGCAGAAGAGGAAGCGGCGCTCCGTTTACCTCTGGAGGTCAAGGAGTTGCTCAGAAGTGACACCAAGGATGATAGCTTCAATGGTTTTAGTGATTTGGAGTCAGATGGAGAGTTCGGTAAACTTGTTCTGCTATGTTGTTTATACTGTAGTTATCTGAAGAACTGTTCATATGTGACGTTAACAGCCTGTTGTTCTCTGTTCTATTGTTTTTACTATAACTTGCCTTTCATGATGAATGATGATGAAAGATGTCAAATAAATTTCCCCCAAAAAGTGCAACTTGCAGTCCGGTGCAACTTAATGTTTTTTTCTTCTTCATTACGGATTTTTTGGCTGGTGCGACTCTGGAGCGACTTATAGTCTAAAAAATACAGTAGTCTTAAAATCTCCATCGGTTTAATATTTGCCTAACTGGAAATTCTTTGATGCATGACGAGACAATCCTGCAATTCAAAGGGAACTACTTGTATTTGCTAATAAATTGGGGCACTCACCGGTGTTGGAGCCAGACAGGTTGTATCTGGAATTGGCTTTTTTAATGATGTTCTCGTGGATCTGGTACCACTCGCTCTCCGTGTTGCACCTGAATCAAAATAAATGGAGAGAAACTCAAATTAATCAATATTATAGATTTTTTACTTAATCCTGAATACATTACCAGCACTTAATCTAAACCAGTATTGATTCCCTGTGGTATGATTTACTTATTTATTTCTAAAGAAGCAACACAATAAAAAATAAACAAAAATAAAAAGTTGGCTATACCACATTTACAAAACCTTTACAATCTTGATGCAAAATTGTACAAATGGTAAATACAATTCTCTGAACTTATGGATCACTCTCAGAAAACATTTTAACGTTACATTTTAATGTAAATAAATAGATAACATATCGCAACTACTATAAATAACTGTGTAATGTCTTCGTTTAACATATTTCATGTATATTTTCCTATGCAACTCACTAAATTGTCAGGTTTTATGTATGTGTTTCATGCGCCTTTCAGTTCAGTGTAAATGATATTACAATGTTAATAAGACTTCCTGTTTAAATTAAATGGAGAATTAAATGCAAAATAATGGTTGTAACTATCAATACTTTTTAACACAGTATTATTATTTCTACCACAGGGAAAATCTCATTACGATTTTTCTCACAAACATTGCGATTGCGATTAGATTTCAGATTTATGTTTTAACAATGCAATTCTATTCATAGTTCACATTTAAAACAGGAATTGAAGAACTGACAAAAGACCGCAATAGTAACTGACAAACTAATAATATAATAATATTTCAGAACATGTTTGTAGAAGTCTAAACTACAGGGTTAGAAGTGTTTTATGCAGAATATTGTCTTGTCTGTGGAGCTGGTACTTAAAAATTGCAGCATTTAAAATTCATATTTGTTCATGCTTTATTACTTCTAACAGCTGTGAGCTACACATGCTAACAAAACTTTGCACCTATGCCAATAAACAAACAAGCTACTTATTGTACTGTAAACTTCTCGATTTTGCCCTATTTCTTAACACACCTCCAGATCTGAACTTGAATGCTAATCCGCATAATTGGTCTCTGGTGAGTTGAAGCTGTTTGAGAGGAAGTGGTGTTGGTTTCTTTAGGACAAAGGGCACTGGGCGCTCTGATCCAGCTGTAATTTAGGTCACTCCACTGTGTCAGCACTAGTTTGTCTGGGCCTTGGGGCATTGCGGGGTGTGAGTGACTGTGGACTGGAACAGAGGCTAGAACAGAGGCCACGCTACAAAATGGAGTAATAGAGAAAATGACAGCCTATCCAGATGTCAGTAGTGTTCCCTTGATGTGCTTTTGATGGTTTTAAAGGTTCTACATTTCGCAAAATTGACTCTTCTGAGCTTTAATTCATGTTATAATGCTGTTACCTCATCAAAAACATGCCTGAAGTTGTTTTGTTTCATTCACACATGTTTGAGTAATCCTTTATCTACATCTGTTTATATCTCTAAAGCTCAACTTGCTTTGTTTATTAGAGATTGGCAATTAAAGGTCTGAAATTATAGAATTATGGAAATTAAAAACACAATGGAACACTTCCTGTATTACCACATGACATCACAAGGTGGAAAATAGTGTTTTAAGTCTGAGGGAAGAACACAAGCCTAAGGTTACGTTTACACAAACAAATCTCTGTATCACTGTATCGGAAACAATTTGTGTCCAGACACGTCGTTCCTGTATCCGTAAGCCTTCCCTATCCACACGGCTTTGAGCATATTTGTTTACGTTTTACAGAAACGAAATTTAAAACCACATGGCTAATTTGCATAAACTAAGCCGCTCAAAAAACAGCTCACTCCTTGTGCTCTGACACAGTCAGCTTCTGTCAGACTTAAAAAGGACGTGACTCAGTGGAATATATGTGTTCTCTCGGTAACTAGAGCTCCTACGTCAGCGTATCAACGTTTTCAGGCGTCCACACAGTGCCGGATCAGATCCCTACTCAGATGAATTCATGGGAGCTGGTGGCACCAGATCGTCCTGTCTCTGGAGCCATTTTCCATCAGATTAGTGTGGATGAACACTGCAACCGCAACAAAAACGACTCGAATTCGTACTAGTGTGAATGGAGCCTAAATATGCAGCGCTTGTGTGTTAAACGTGAGTGAAATGAATAAACAACACTATAACACACATAGATCAGAGAACTGTATGATATAGATCCTTTAAACACAAAGTATGAGCCTAGCACCAAATTTGGCCTGTAATAACCAAATTCTATTTGTGCAGTCAGTAAAAATCGCTAATAACTTTGTGAATGAACACATACGTGACGCGGCTCATTGAGACTTACGCATAAACCTTGAGCAGATGATCGTCTTTGGAGTCAGCTGTGAGCAGATCAGCGATGCTCACGACTGCACAACCAAACGGACGCCTGTACTGTACACTACAAACATTCTTCTTTTCTCCTGCTCCCATCCTCCCTATAAGCAAGAACACAAAACAACACAGAAAATAGCATCAGTGTGTGGAAATACAAGCAAAGTTTGAGAAACAAAATGAAAACTTTTTGACACTTGCCTATTCTGATCATGTGAACAACAATGTAGACGTCCTTTCGCAGATCGCTGCTTCCCAAATCCTGTTGTAAAAAAGAAACAAAAAACTCGTAATGTGCAAAGTCCTTGATTTCTAGACTCTCGAAATACTACATCACAAATTATAATCGTAGTACTAAACTTTTGCAGTTTTAGTCCAAAGTTTAGCCTATTACTTCTGTCCTGGCTTAGTCCTGGCTTAGTCCTGGCTTAGTCCTGGCTTAGTCCTGGTTTAGTTCTGTATAGTGTAATCCTTGTTCAGCCCTAGTTTAGTCAAATTTATATTTGGTCCAGTCCTGGTTTGATTTGGAGTATTTGTATTTGTTTCTTATCATCTTGTTTTATGATTTTTTGCATTTCTTCACTCCTGGTTTAGTCCAGGCCTAGCCCTGGTTCAGCCCTGGTTCAGTCCTGGTTCAGTCCTGGTTCAGTCCTGGTTCAGTCCTGGTTTAGTTCTCTCTTAGTCCTGGTTTAGTTCTGGTTTGGTCCTGAATTTGTCTTTGTTTAGTCCTAGATTAGTCCTGGTTCAGTTCTGGTTCAGTCCAGGCTTAGTCTAGGCCTAGCCCTGGTTCAGTCCTGGTTCAGTCCTGGTTTAATCCTGGTTTAATCCTGGTTTAGTCCTCATTTATTCTGGGTTTAGTTCTGTCTTAGTCCTAGTTTAGTTCTGGTTTGGTCCTGGTTTGATCCTGGTTTGGTCTTGGTTTAGTCCAAGTTTTGTCCTGGTTCAGTTCTGGTTCAGTCCAGGCTTAGTCCAGGCCTAGCCCTGATTTAGTCCTGGTTTTGTCCAGGTTCAGTCCTAGTTTAGTCCTGGTTTAGTCCAGGTTTAGTCCAGGTTTAGTCTAGGTTTTTTTTTAAATCTTATATTATTTTGGACATCTATTTGCTAGAAAAATAAGACCTTGGTCTCGTTTAGTTCCACGCAGCTCTGACTGATCATTGTTCTGTTTTGAATGAACTGTACTTTGAAGGCCACACATTTACTATAAAGTTCACTATGTATGAGAACTTTCTCATACAGTATCTCGGTGATTTGACACTTGTTCAATATTGACTACGCACCACAAATAGCGTGCATTGTCTTTCCGTCTTCTCCGGCGACTTGGGCAACCCGCTCTTATTCAGTCGGACAAAGAAGCGTTCACTGAAAGAGAAGAGACGGAGATATGAGGATGAATGGGGGTTAGAAGTGATAGCTCGCCTTCATTGTACACAAAACATAGCCAAACCGCTGCTAACAGGAACGGAAACGAGATTAAAAACAGAAAAAAAAAAACATGTCAAAAGTGTCAAGCTTTCAGCTGTAGCCACTGGAGAATTAGCTTCAAAGTTGAAACTATAAAAGCTCAAATTGTCGGAGTCTTTCAAACAGAATTGTGTGGGGGTAAAACAGACTGGGAGACAACAGAGGCAGAGCAGAGGCAGAGAATGGGCTGTTCAAAGTCTGATTTACTGAACCAAATCTCCCACAAAGACTGTCTGTAACAAGTCTATACGGAAATGTGGCTGGATTAAATATTCATTGTGCCGTTGATTATTGTCTCACTGACAACTTTAGCTGACATTCAAAACTGTCAGCAAAAATAGTCATAACAAAAAATGTTCTGTTTCAGAGCCCGGCATTAAACAAAATAGTTTCTTGCGAGGTTTAAGTCATGTTAAAATGTTTTATCTCCTCAGAAATATACCTGGAGTTGTGTTTTGTTTGATTCACACATGTTGGAGTAACCCTTTATTATTAGTCTGTTTACATCTCCAAAGCGCAAAATGCTCTGTTCCACCTTGTGATGTCATGCAGTGGTAGTGTTCAAGTTAACAGCTCCTTTTACCTTTTGTTCGATAGAGATTGGAAATTCCAGGAGGGTTGAAATTACGTGAATTAGGGCCTGTTTACACGAGAACGCTTGTGGGTAAAAACGACAAAATATTTTATCGGAAATGCCTTTCGCTTAGACCACAGGTGTCAAACATGCGGCCCGGGGGCCAGATCCGGCCCTCCAAGACCTTTAATGTGGCCCTTGGCTGATTTTCTACTAAAATATTTTAATTATATTTTTTATTAAAATATTTGTAATTTTCTGCACTTCTTAGCATAGTGTCTCCAGTGTCTCTGTACGTGGCCCCTCCCACCAGAGCAGCACAAATGAAGACTTGTCTCTTTCCAAACGCTCTTAAAGGACGATCGTTTTGACTGTTGACCGTGACACCCTCATCAACAAAATGTCTAAAATGAGAAAAGTGGAGCCGAGTGCAGGATTTACCAAGAAAAACTGACTTATTTCTATTTGCACACAAGTTAAAATATTATGTTGAAATTGCATTTTTCTTCAAGTTTCAGGTTGTTCATAATATTATAATATTTTGTAAAAGAAAGAGTTCATCAATTAAAAAAGATTTCTGTAATAGATTTGCGTTTCTCTGCACAAATATTTGAACTTATTGTTATTTTTGGGGTTTATATGACATGAGTTTTCTGATCCAGCCCCTTTGGGATCAAAGTAGGTTGGATACGGCCCCCAGACCAGAATGAGTTTGACACCCCTGGCTTAGATGGTGACGGCATTTTGGGGGCTTAAAAACACAAAAATCTGAAACCACCCTCCAGAGTGAAAAAGTTGAATACACTCCGCCGTAGCGTTTCCATCTACACTGCCCCAGACATAAAACTCTGGTCAGATCTGCTCACGTCACATACGAGTTTATGTCACATACATAACCACCTAGCGCACTGCCTAGCATGCATACACAATCGAATTCCACACACTTTTGCGTCACTGTATGCACACAGATTTTCCCCCCGAAAATGCTCGTCTAAACGCGGAATAAAAAATGAAGAAGCGACGCCACTTTTGCATCTTCTGTTCAGACCGTCATCATATAAACGTATGAAGCACTTCCTGTATTACCGCATGACATCACAAGGTGGAACAGAGCGTTTTCTGTTTGAAAAAAGAACTCAACAAGTCTAAATATGTAGGGTTTACGTGTTAAACATGTGTGAATGAGACAAAACACAGCTCCAGTCGTCAGATGAAGAAAAGAGGTAGAGCACTTCACTGGGTCATAAAAAAGTTAAAAATAGCAGTACAGGCGCTCTACAAGGGTTAAAACTTGTAATCTTAACAGAAAGTTACCCTGACTGAAAAATGTAAAAGCGGGCTATAATGATAGCTACCATTATGCCCTGACGAAGACCATCTTGCTGGTCGAAACGCGAAACCCTTCATGTAATAAAGGACTTTTAATATATTCAGTCACAGTGCCTCGGGTTTGTACCTTGCCCATTTTTACATTTTTCAGTGAGGGTAACTTTCTTTTAAGACAGCTCCAAGTCTGTTTGTGATGAGGAAACAGCACTATAACAGATCAGAAAATAGAGTAATAGGGGCCCTTTAAAACATGAAGCATTTAGTTGTTTTTTTTTCATGTGTGACTCAAACAAAGCACAACTATTGGTACGTATGTTTGTGATGACGAAACAACATTATGACATTAGATCAGAAACAGTATAATATGGGCTCTTTAGCTGTCATTTAGGATGCAATGTGTTTTAAAATGTGCATTATGTAACTTTTCTGGTTGTGAGTCTGCTATCTGTTGCCATGGAGATGCTTTTGCTTTGCCTAAAGTCTTCCACAGTATGGTATTAAATGTATCCATCTTTCATATATTTATTTTTTATTGTCCAAAGTATCTCTGCTTTGATATGACCTGGAACTTGGACTGCAGGCACTACTTTTTTGTCTTCATGGCGAGAGAGAAGTTTAATGCCATACTGTGGAAGATTCTGGGCAAAATAATATATGAATGAAGATAAGCCGGTGGCAGACCCTCCAACAGAAAAGTTACCAACTGCTGACTTTTATATTTTATCTAAATTATCTACATTTGCCCCATTCCTTCTAATCTATATACCATGGGACATTTGTTTGGGAGAAGGGACTAAAAAATCCAAATCACAAGTCAATATGCTCCACAATACAGAGCAAACAATAATGATAACATGAGGGTATATTGAAATATTGATTATACATACTACTATATATGCATGATACAAATACACTTTAAGTTGCAATATTCTGTTCATAAAATACACTTGTTTTAATATTCAAAACAGTGAATATGTGAAATGTGTTACATAAACATGTTTTCTTTTCGCCAAAACAAAATTGTAGAGCTGGCAGCGCCTCAACTGGCTGCACTCCAGGTTTTGAAGGGCAGAATGAGCACAAATATTATGCTGAACAGAAAGTAATAAGATGTATTTTTAATTACTACATTTTGGTAATTGAATAGAGTAATAACTGAAATCACACTTTCAAATTTGATGAAGTGCACAGCTGTACGATCTCATTAAAATATGAAACACAGCCCCATTCCAAGTCAGAAACATACAGCAGTGGATGAAGTACTCAGTTGTGTTACTTAAGTAAAAGTACAGATAAAACTAAAAGTCACATGAAGTAAAATCACATGAAAAAATCAACTTCAGTAAAGTATTAAAGTACCTGTTTAAAAAAATACTTAAATAGTAAAAAGTAAAAGTATTTTGTAGAGATTTTTAGAACAATTAAAGGATGAAATGCAGTGATTTTGATGCAAAATTTAGTGATTCAATTGATTTTTAAAACATTTTTTCTAACTGTTTTGTGTATGTTTTAGCAAATTAAATGTGTCTCAGCCATTTCAGAGTACTTTTTATATTTCGGTTCAGTTCAAAAATGCGGTCGCGTAGAAAGTACAGATACACATTCTCAAATGTAGTGAAGTAACAAGTATTCACCATAAAATTTATTTTAAAAAAGTAAAGGACAGATACCTAAAATTTGTACGATTTTTACTAGTATTGTTGGAATTATTACACGAACAGGAAGTAAAATTGAATTCTTCTGATTAAGACTGAATGGTACTTATGAAAAAAAAAACAATGCAGCAATCACAGTCAAAGTTGAAGGTGGACTATGTAACTTTATGGTTGGAGGTCTGTCACCTTCTTGTTTCTATGGAAATGTCACTGCTCTGCCTGTAATGTTCCACAGTATGACATTTAACAGCTTTACCTCTACATTTATAAAATTACAGGTGGTTTTATCACTTAAAGATACCTAGAAAAAACAGGCATTCTGACTGGGAGTGGGGTTGCCTCTCCACAGATCTGACCTTGGTCGGGTTAGGTTTCCACAGAGATAGAAAGGTTTAATGCCATACTGAAACATTCCAAACAAACCAATAACATCTCCATGAAGAAAAGCATTTGACAAAAAAGTTACACAATGCACCTGTAACTTGTTCTTCTATTCAAAGGAGCCAGAGCTTAAAGTGCTGCCAACACTAAATTACATGTATTTGGAAACAGAGGTTGATTCTCTTGTTCTTTGTACTTTTCTGTGGTCTCCATCTCTGGCTCAGTTCACACAGACACAGAGGAGCTTCCTGCTGGGTCAGTCTCGCCCTGGCCCGGGAGCGCTGGGTTAATCCAGTTAAGTGACTTTCACAGTCCACGATAAGCAGACGGAAAGACTTGTAATGCACCAGCGCCTGACAATGGGCCAAGCTGCTGCTGAGGACAGTGGTGAAAGATATGTCCATCCTCACAAGAGCAGAATACACAGATTATGTAAAGGGTTTAGGTGATTAGAAAATACATTCATAGTTCTGTGCTGGGTCAGAGAGTACAGGAAAATATGTAGTATGCAAACTGGTCTACGCCTGAAAGAAATCACAGGGTTGCAAATGACAACACTACTTTCAGTTGGGCAATAATGAATACAGATGGGGGGCATCAAAATTATGTATTGTTAAAAGGCAGATTTTTGTTGGAATATGTGTTGGAATATGTTCTAATAGCCAGCCACCTAGTGCCTCCATTTCTCTTCAGCGACTAGTTCAGGAATCAGAATGCACTAGACGGTTCGCAAAAACCCCGGAAGTGCAAGTTCGGGCACCAGCCAATCAGTGAAGAGCCATACATTCTGTGTTGGCAACAATTCCCGAGATCGAGGATTTAAAGCCAGAACAAAGAGAATGTTTGGTGAATTTTATCAAGGTGAAAAACGTTATTGCTCTTCTTCTTACGGGATTTAGGAAAAGCTTAATATACCAGTTAGCCCCGTTAGCAGCGCATTACATATGTCACGACAAAAT